GGATGGAGGACCTCAGTTTAGCTTGTTTGTCACGCTAGCACCGAGCTAATACATATAAGGCAATATAGTGTCGGCGCTAAAGCTCTGGTTTCATTTAACAGAGTCGATCATCAGATATTGTCCAAGATTAACCTTCAGGGTGGATATAGCTCGCTAGCAGCCTCGCACCGAGGACTTATCCACGTCTTCATTTACCCAGAATGCTTTGTGTGGAAATAAAATGTCTCAGTCTGTGTTAAAATATATTTAAAAAAAATTACAAAACTAAACAGCCTACAGTATTTTTACAGTCTTTATTTTACAGTTAAAATAAATTTTTATCAAATAAAGTCTAATGTTACAACTAATCGTGGATCCCTTTAAACTGAAGATTTACCTGTCTGGCAGCACAAATAACATAGGCCCAATTACAGAGCCCTGAGGTGCGCCGCGAGACAACCTGTCAGACATACTGAAACAGAATCCTTGAAACTTTTTGTTATTTGTTTGTCTCACAGCAGCTGAAACACGTGAATTTGGTCAACCTGCTGGAGGTCTTCAGGAGGAAAAGGCGGCTCCACCTGGTGTTCGAGTTCTGCGAACAGACGGTTCTGAACGAGCTGGACAAGCACCCCCGAGGGTGAGTTTTATCAKCTCAAACCCTCTGTAGTCACATGACCTGTGGACGTGCTGCTGAGGGGGATCGTCACAGCTGTGTGAGGTTGGGACTGGAGCTTTAAAGTGCCTGTGACTTCAAAATTTTGTAATAAATATGAATGTATTTTTGGAAAGGTAACATTGATAACATATTGTAAAAAACATCTCATGTCGCTGAGATGAACAATTGTTAGGATATTTGCATGGGAAGTAACAGGCAGTGATGTCAAAGGGGAATGTCTGAATGTGAACATAGCGTTGCTAAAATGGCTAATAATACAGACTGTAGAGAAGAATCTGATGTTTCATTAGATTATTTTAATCACTATCATAGAGAGATGAAGAAGAGTCATAGTTCAGATAATATTGTTTCAATAAACAAAAACCAGGAAGTTTTCTTTCTCAAAGAGTTCCCCTTTGATGTCACTTCCTGTTTCACTTCAGCTGAGCCAAACCCAAAAGAACATATGCCAATTATGGGACATAATCAGTAAAATTATAACTCATTCTAAATATAAATATATTTTCTTTGATTTTTGTATTTAATTTCATAGGCACTTTAACATGAACTAAAACTTTTAGTTTAAAGCTGAGGCACCAGCAGAAAAAAAACCCACTACAGAATCCGTGCTGTCTGAGCGTTTTCCTTTTTTTYCCCACAATGCCGTGCAGCAGAAACCCTAGCTGCTCTTCGAACAAAGGTGGCTGCTGGCCGAGTCGCCTAAGGTTACTCGGGTGCCATGAAGATGCGCCGAGCGCTTCTTCTTTGTTCCAGATGCTTGGAATAATAAATGAGGAAGGTACGGCAGGTGAAACGTTYCAACAGTCAGTTTTTCTTCGTGTCGTTGTCTCTGCAGGGTACCTGAGGGTCAGCTGAAAAGCATTGTGTGGCAGACTCTGCAGGCTGTGAACTTCTGCCACAAACACAACGTTAGTACATGTTTCATTTATTTTATTTTATTTATATTTTTTATTTTTATTTCATTAATTTTGTGGCAGGCGGTGAACTTCTGCCACAAACACATCAGTAGAT